AGAACTTTAACATATACTGCTCAAAGGGGCCAACATGTTCAGAAGGTGAAAGGGTAAACTGTGGTATGTCCATGAAATGGAACATTACTCAGTAATAAAAGCCAGTGAGTATCGAGGCACGAAAAGACTTAAAGAAACCTCAATATACCTTGTGAAGTAAAAGAGCTGCATGCTGTATGCCTGCACCACATGATACTGGAAAGGCAGACTAGAGACCAGGAATAGGGAAGGAAGGTGACAGCAGGCCCATGGAGCATTTTTAGGTCAGGAAAGTACTCTGTATTGTAATGGATGCCTGCCCTACATTTCCCAAAAACTCAGTGTCCAACAGGCTTGTCACCAGAAGTTGGGTCCTGAGGCAGTGAGGAATTAGCCCTCACTACCTTGGTCCTCAGTTCTTTGTGCCACAGATAAGAGAATTAGCCAAGCTCCATGGGCCCTACAGAAGTCTGGGTAGAGTTCATAAAGAGAGACGCCTTTGGGCAAGAAGTCAGTGTCTGCCCTGAGCGTGAGCTATTTATGCAGACAGAGGTGACCCCTGGGTCAGGGGACTTGGGGGATGGTGCTCTTTAGCAGCAGTTCTCTTAGGGGATGCCTGAAATGTTGATACCTCCAAACTGCATTCCTTATCCTGTGAAGAGGTCAAAGTTTCCTCTGAGCACCACCCCCCCATCATGTAAGAATCTAAACCAGGTGTTGAAGGAGGGAGGTCGGTAAAGAATGCTCCACTTTCTGATATCAGGCGTAGTCCATGGGTGGCCAGGCTGGGTACATAAAGGAATGCACATGATGCGTGATCTTGAGGCCTTGAGATATCCCTGTTTCCTGAGAGGTGGCTCAAGGTATGTTACCAGTGATTATAAATGTGTCATATGGTGACATCTTTGTGTCGTCTTCATCTTTTTTTTTTTTTCTTTTGTCTTTGAGACATGGGCTCGCTCTGCAGTTCAGACTGGGCTTGAGCTCACTTTGTACCCCAGGCTAGTATGGAACTCGAACTGATCCTCACACCTCAGCCTCCTGAGTGCTGGGATTACAGGTGTGCACCACCACGCCAGTCTTTGTGTCTTATTAACTCTCAGAGCACATGGTCAGAACTCCCTTTTATCCCTCCAGCCTACTAATTAACTATGTGTCCAACCCTGAGAACCTGTGTCACCACCCCTAGATGGTCCCATTGGTAGTGATATGTCAGCAGTAGGTCATCACTGTACAGAGTGTTCAGAATGACTACAGGGAAATGCAAAGGGCTGCAAAGGAACTATACTTTCTGCTCAGTTTTTCTGTGAATCTAAGACTGCTTTTAAAACAGTCCCATTAATTTTTCAGAAAATCTGTTGAGGTTTAAAGGTAGAGCTCGGTGGGAAAGCTCTTGCCTTGCATAGTTAAGGCCCTGTGTTCAATCCCTAGCACCACAGAACAAAACAAAGCAAACATTGTTGAGGAAGTGAGAAGACAGCCCAGCAGAGTATGAGAACATAACTGCAAATTGCATATGTGACAGTAGACTTGGGTCTGGAATCTGCTTAAAGAAGAGGTTTGCGGAGTCCCTGTAATCTGTAGGGTTACCTCCAGACTTGGGGTGGGAGGTGCATAGTGCTCAGGGGAGTAGCCTTGGCTTCCTCAGGGATACCTGCCTCCTGGCCTGAGCCTTCTGCTGTGGCTTTCTTAGGCCCCTTGCACGTTGTTGCGTACCAGGCTCTCCCTGTTGCACATGCAGGCACACATGACCAGTTCCTTTCTGCCTTTCATTGATTCTTATAGCATGGTGTGCCAACTAAGACGTTGAGTCTGAACTATTAGTAGTGATGCTTGGTGCTGAGGACATGTTTGTAGATGTCTCTTATTCTCCTTATCTGTAGAACATGTTTCCAGACTCAGCCCCAGCAACTCCCCCTCCAAGCTTTCCCTAACTACATCCCTCCGGGAAACCTTGATTCCCCATCACAACATGCATTTCTGGTGACCACACGCTGTTGAGTGTGTGTCCTGCTTGTGTCTGGGTCCAGCACCTTGCATAGTACACAGCGTGTCTCCTGTAGGATCCAAAGTCTCCCTGATCTCCTCTCGAGGATTTCTAGGTTTTCCTTTTCATGTCCATCAGCACTGGAAATCCTCCATGCTTGGTAACGTTATCTTCCAGCCCATGCCCTCTCTTCAGTTCTGTCTCTTTCCCTTCACTGTGACTAACCTGAATGTGAGTACGTAGCTGACATGTTTTGGACACTTAAATGCCAGGCTTTAGGTTATGTTCTGTCTGTGATAAAATAAACATAAAATTTACCACTGTGACCATTTTTAAGTGCACAGTGGCAATTAAGCACACTGACTTTGTTATGCAGCTGTCATCACCATCCATCCCCGGAACTCTTCACTCCAGTCTAAGGCTCATCACAGGCTCCCCTTCCCAGCTCTCTGCCCATTTTACTTCTGCCTCTGTAGATTTGACACTGGAGATGTAAGGGATGGCATCTAGCATAGTATCCTATTCATTTTTAGAAATAGAAGAGACTGAGGTAGAATTCAATTCAGTTCAACCCCTGCCTAAAGTATTTACACAGAAGCAGCCTTGCTTAAGTTACCCCATTCCTCACTCCTCCCTGCTCTGTCAGAACTTCACAAACATAGAAGATAAGGAAAAGACAGGACCCATGTAGGGCCTGCTGTCACCTTCCTTCCCTATTTCTGGTCTCTAGTCTGCCTTTCCAGTATCATGTGGTGCAGCCATGCAGCATGCAGCTCTTTTACTTCACAAGGTATGTTGAGGTTTCTTTAAGTCTTTTCGTGCCTCGATACTCACTGGCTTTTATTACTGAGTAATGTTCCATTTCATGGACATACCACAGTTTACCCTTTCACCTTCTGAACATGTTGGCCCCTTATGTAGGGCAATAAGATACAGACTACTTGCACATGCTTAGCCATAAATCCCTCTGCCCAAGACCTTGCACCTATAGAATATAGGGGTGTCACATTCTTGATGTGACCCCGCACCTATAGGATACAGGGAGCACTACATTCCTGCCTGATTGCAGTAGCAACAAAGAAACCATAAAAGCAGTCAGGAAACAAAGAATTGGGGCTTTTGTGTTTTCCCAGATGGAACCATATGGGTTGCTGGCTAATTAATAAAGGTTCTATAATTCCTTTTAATGTGGTCTCCTGTGGGCAGGATATCCAATCCCAGCCATTACAGAGGGACCTCATGGAAGTGAGTCCATGCAGCATTTGTCTGTCTTGTGACTGGCTTATTTTTCTGCTGGTGTCCTTGAAGCCTGCCCTGCTGCAGACATGTCAGAACCCTGTCACAGTGGACAGGATCATTCCATGTGCATGGATATGTATACAGCCTTTGCCCTCCATCTGTAGGTGGTGCCCGGGCTGCTCCTGCCTCTGGACCATTGTGAATAATGCAAATCCTCTGTGCTATTCTGTGGACTGTTTGGTTCAGTTTGATTCAGAGACTTGTTATGTTGCCCAGGCTGTGCTTGAACTCTCAGGCTCAAGTGGTCCTTCTGCTTCAGCTTGATAAGTAGATGAGACTACAACTGCTCACCACCACACTGGGCTGTTGGCCTTCTTCACCCTGTGGATTTTCTTAGTCATGGCCTTTGAAACAGAAAAAAACGCCCCATGAGTGATTTTGACTTGGAGAAATGGAGATCCAACTAAACGCACGTGCTGCCTTCTCCTGCCTTCGCTGTTCCATCCACATGCTGTCTGGAGCTGGTCTGCCGAGTTCCTGTTCCGTGTTCCGACGTGTTATGCACTTGGTCTCTGGCAGCCCATGTTTTCCTCAGCACTGTGTTTTGGTTTCATCCTCCTCACACGGGAGGACAGTGGCTTCAAAATTGCTGTCTCTTAACAAATCTTGCTTCTTCTCACTAACTGAGGCACAGCAACTTGCTGCCCTGTGCCTGTGCTCACCATGGCCTTCAAACTGTGGCAGATTGTCTCCATCCCTGACATCCCGGGTGTCCTAGGTGTCCCCGGCCCCTCATCCTGGCGCACTCTTTCTGACGGGACTCTTGCCATCTGACTGGGGTGTCTTTGGTTTCACTCATGTCTCCATGGTTGACACCAAAGTTGAGTGCCTTTTTTCCCCTTTTTTTTGTAACACTGGGGTCTACACCTCATAGGCCAGTGCTCCACCACTGAGGTGTAGACCCCAGACCTTCTTTTCCCCTCTGGAAATTGCTGCAAGTCTCCTTTACTGTTTTGGAGGTAGGATTTCTGGGGTGTCCTTTTGGCTGGTGTTCACTGTTCTTGTCTGTGGCCATGACCTCTGTCTGGGTAGCCTCAGCCTCTTACACATACACTGCAGGGTCCTGTCCCTGACTCTGCGGGGGTACCTGTGGAGGTATGAGGTATGGAGGTATCAATACCTGGCTCCGCCTGCTGCACCGGCCCCACCTTCGGGTGCGCTGAGCCGGCGATGGAGTCCGGGCGCGGTGGCGCACGCCTGTAATCCCAGCACTTGGGAGGCAGAAGTCAGGAGGATCACTACTAATGTGGGCTATGTAGTGAGACCCTGAGCAAAAAAAAAGAAAAAGAAAAAGAAAATCAAAAAACCACCAAGGAGCTCTGGGTCAGGGTGACCACCCCGTGTTTGTGGTCCTTGCTCTGGGTGGCTTTAAACTGGCCCTATAGAGCATCATGCTGTTCTTGTTAGGACATAAGCACCTATGAGGAAGAGCCTGTCATTGAGCCCAGAGATTAGAGACCCTTTCTTGGTGACATGGTATGTTGAGCACCTATGTCATACTTCCCTTCCTTCACTGCTTGCTTCTGTAGGGGAAATTAAGGCACAGGACATCTCTTGCCTGATCTCAAAATTCAGCAGCAGGGCCTGATGCGGGTGCTCTTAGCCTGAAGGCTACAGAATCTGTGGGGGCTACCTGTGGAAGCATCCCTTGCCCAGTCCCCTCCTTCAGCTGCCATCCTCATGGTGGAAGCCCAGGAGCACCCCACTCCGCACTCAGAGCTGTGTTCCTTTCCAGGCTCCTGTGACCACTGGACTGCAGACTCACCATGTCTGGACCTCAAGTCATGGAGCAGGCACCAGATGCCCAGGAAGACCCGCCCTTATGCAGGAGGGATGAGGATGCCAAGGAGGGGACCCAGAGCTCCCACCGCATGTTGGGCTTCAGTGATGCACTGCTGTCCATCATTGCCACGGTCATGGTCAGTGTGGGCCCCACTTCAGCTTGCCCTGGCTCTCACAGGATCTTTGGGTTTTCCAGGCCCTTGGGTGGGTGGAGCACCTTGTATGTGCTCTGAGTCCCCAGTACCACCCCCTCCAAAGTCCCTAACCAAGAACTGTCTCTGTTCTTTTGTTATTGTTCCTGCAGATCTTGCCTGTGACACATACGGAGATCTCCCCAGGGCAGGTAACGGGGTAGGCTTCCTGGTGCTGGGGTGGGAGAACAGACTGAGAAGGGTATGGGATGGGCGAGCTGCCTGAGCCACCTTGGCACCTGTGCCACCACCCTGGATGACGGCTCATGGGAGGTGTTTCCGGAGCAGAGAGCAATGGGGCTCTACCTTTGGAAGGTCTTGGGTGCATACCCATGCCTTGCTTTTCCCCACATGATGGGTGCTGTGTGACAGAGCAGCAGTGGTATCATGCTGAAGTCTGGGGACTGAGTGGGATGATGGGGGCACCCATCACTGCATAGGGTGCAGGCCCACAGCAGCCAGGTTAGCTGTGCTGGTCAGGAAGGCTGGTTCTGAGGGGATGTGGTGCTTGGGAACCTGAGGTGGGTAGGGTCTGGTGCATGGTGAGGCACACACCTCACCACAAGCTCAGAGCAGGGCTCTCGGAGCACAGCCATAAGGATGTGAGGGCCCAGTGAGGGCATGCCCCCCCAAGCACTGTCCAGCTGACTGGACAGTCCACCCTCTGTGTCAGCAATGTCTTGGAGTCCAAGACTTTTTAGTGCTCTCAATCCTAACTGGTTCTTAGGAAGTTCCTGGGATATTCTTGAGGAAAGAGATGAGGCCTGGCTACCTCCCGAGGGAGTGCTGAGCAGCGTATATTTCTGTGTTGGGGAGGAATTCATACCTGTTCCCCCTGCCTTAAAAAGGAAGGTGGGATGGTGTTGCACACCATCTGCTTAAGAGGGCTGAGGCAGGAAGATTACGACAAGTTCAAAACCAGACTGGCAACTTAAGGAGACTTGTCTCAAAATAAAAAGGGCTGGGAAATAGCTGAGTGGTAGTTGCTCAGAGTATATGAGGTCCTGGGTTCAATCCCCAGTATTGGAGGAAAAAAATACCAGACCAGTCAACTTGAACATCCATGATTGAGAAAGCACAATGGTGGCATCGTAAAGAGTAGCATCATTGCTATAGCATGTGACTGACTCAGACCTACATTCACATGGGACCCGGAAGCTTGGGTGACATTGGCCCAAGGCCAGGCCTGAGAGCCCTCCACACCCTCTGCTCCTTTCCAGCCAGTCAGCTGTTGCCTGTGGTGGGCAGGCCCTACCCAGTCCCATGGGCTGATCCTTTCCTAAGCAATGCTAGATCTCACCCTGCTGTGCTGTCCATGTCCTTATTCCTCCCAGATTCATGTGTTGGGACGCAAACCTCAGGGTGACGACATCCAAGGGGGTTAACGGCCTTCTGAGGGGCAGTTGCCCTCTGTCCCTCCTGCCATGCAAGGACTAGCCCTTTTGTTCTGTCTGCTCTCTCATGGCTTGTCTATGGCCCTGGCTCTTCCCTGCAGCCTGCTGCTGAAGGACCTCTGAATTCTGACCTCTGTGGGGTGCAGAGACCTGCTTAGCAGTGCCACAGTGGCTGTGGGGCTGGGCTGAGCTGGGCTGGAGGAGGGAGAGGGCAGCCCAGGCATTGGGCCATGTGAGGCTTACTGTTCTCACAGCAGTGCTCTTTTACTCTAGGACTTTGACAGAAGTATGCAGAAACTTCTAGCCACCAGGATTGCTGTTTACCTGATGACATTTCTAATTGTGACGGTGGCCTGGGCTGCACACGCTAGGTAGGACCTGGGCTTGTGCAAGGTGACATCCTCACCATTAGGACTTGCTAGACCTACACTGGGCCTGCTGTTCCCTGGCCCTGCACTTTATCACATGCTTCTCCAAAGAGATGGGGTCAACAGTCCCCCCCCCCATTCACCTTTCCTCAAGTTCTTGCTATGAGCCTTGTCCTGGGACAGTAGAGGGAACATGCACATCCTGGGCAGGCCTTGTCCTGAGCTGCTCAGTGGGCTTCCTGCGTGGCAGGCATGACAGCCAGCCAAGGACTGTCCTGCTAGGACAGGCAGTAGAACGGGGGATGAGCCGTGTTGGCAGGGCCAGGGCCTTTAGTACCAGCCCTGTCCCACTCCCTAGGAGGAAAAGTCTTCAGAGTCCAGGGGCCTGGCCTTCCAGCCTCAGCAGCAGGGTCAGGAAGCCTCAGAGGTACAGCTGGAGTGTGGATGTGGATGTCTGTATGTCCTCTGTCCAGAGGAAGTACTTGTCAGCCAGTGTTGGGGAGCAGAAAAAGCCACAGCTCTTGCTAAGTGCACCGTGCTAACATTGCCACCTATTGTATATCACATTCTGTTCTCAACAGCGTGACTCTTTCTGGGACTGACCGTGGTCCGCTATGTTCAGATCTCGTGGGAAGGCTTTTCTCTGAGTGATTGGGAGGCTTGTAGGCCAGCAGGGCTGGTGGCTGCAGGTTAGCTCACTAGAGGCCACACACTGAGGAATCTGTCAGGAGAGTGGGTGTAGGGCCAGGGCCTGCTCAGGGCTGTGTGGAGCTGCTCATGTCTCCTGCCTTTTCCAGGACACTGGCCTGCATGCACAGTCACGGCACTAGCATGCCTGCAGAGCTGCTGGAACCCAGGCCGTGGCCCCATTTGGCTTTATGTGAAGGACGAGGCCTCAGAGTAAGCCCTGAGAAGGCACTGTGTTCTCTGTAGTGCTTTGCACCAGGCTGACCTTGCTAGAGAAACCCTGGGGTAGGAGCCCGATCAGAGGCTGCAAGACCAGGTCCTTAACAGGCCAGGCTGGCATTTTGCCCTGGTGGAAGGAAGCTTCAGCAGGTTTGATGTGTGAAACCTGTCAAAGGAACAGGGAGAGGGCAGGTTGCCTGCATGGTGGTGCCCTAGGTGCAGGAACCTGCAGGCAGACAGCTGAGGACACTCCCAAGAGCTTCTGGGCCAGCCCCACCTCGTGGCTGTCTGGCCCTGCCCACAGCACAACTCCTGAGCTCCTGTTCCCGTAGGATGGGCCTGCTCCAGTGAGGACTTTGGAAAGCCATACCCAGTGTACACATTTGTGTCTGCAGTGGTTCTGTTCATAGCCATGTGCTTTATTTTATTTTATTTATGTATGTATTTATTTTTGCACAACCGGGAATTGAACTCAGGCCCTTGTGCTTGCCAGGGAAGCACTCATTCCACTAAGCCATTTCCCTGGCCCCTCATGTGCTTTAAACTGGAAGCAAAACCATGAAAGAACATGTGGGAATGAAGAAGGTGTTTTTAGGGAAGTTGTGTCATCATCTTTGAATTTTCTGAACTTTTCGCTAAGTAATGGCTTGTATTTGGTCAAGAGTGATGTTTTCTGGTGACTGCGTACCCAAGAGTGCCCGTGACAGTGTGTGCCTGACCCTGTTAGTGCCACTTGATAGCAGTGATGCTTCTCTCCCTGTTCTCATTTTGTGTAGGTTGTTTCAAGTCGTTGGGAAAATAGATGATACACTTGCCTTGCTCAACCTGGTGAGTTTTTCCTGTCCTGCAAATGATGTTGGTTTGTAACTGAACCTCCCAGGAGTCAGAGGCATGGCCAGCTGCTTCTCTCCCAGCCTCTGGCCCCTCAGCCCCTAGGTGCAGGGCCTGGCTCTGCCCTGGGGAGGCCAAGGAGAGCCACTTTACCCACCCATTGTGGACAGCGGCACAGGCCTCTGGGCACTTGGCCACTGCCCTGTAGTGCCCTCATCCCAGGCCACATGACCCCAAGCCCCTCCCTTTGTCCTCTCTAGGCATGCATGATGACCATAACCCTCCTGCCTTACACGGTGAGTACAGTCAGTTCCCATCCCCACACAGAAATGCAGCCTAGGGAGCTGGTTCAGGGCCTGAGCTACAGGGCTGCAAGGAGGAGGTTGAGGCAGTCAGTGGGTAGAGGCACAGAGCACTTGGGCTGGGCACAGTGCTCCCTGCCTTAGGAGGCTGAGGCAAGATTGTTGAGTCCAGCCTGGGAAACATAGTGAGACCCAGTCTAAAAAAAACACCAAGAGAACCCAGAGAGGGTCACTGACACCCCAACTCTTGCCAGGCTTTGCTGCAGTGTGCCCCCACCCTCCCTCTAGGGCTGAAGGGAGTGTTCCTTCTCACTCAGTCTAACTTTCCCACTTGTACCTGACATTTTCGTTCAGTCTGATGTTTACACGCAGATCTACTGTTCACACTGACATTCACACTCAGGTGGATGTTCACAGTCTGTCTGACAGGCTTGCAGCTTGTTTGTCACAGAGAATTCAGAGCTGAGGATTCAGTGTGGATCTGATGACACTTTGACATTAAGGGGCCTGAAGTGGTGGGTGATATTGCTTGGGGAAGTGGACAGGCCCCACTCACACCCATGCCATTCCCCCCAGCTGAGCTGGTTCTGTCTGCTGCACACAGCATGGCTCTGGAAGGTGCACTGCATCCTCAGCTCCAGGCCAGGGGGCCTGATAATCTTGTGGATTTTGCTTGTTTTTGGACACAGTTTTCCTTAATGGTGACCTTCCCTGATGTGCCTCTCGGCATCTTCTTGTTCTGTGTGTGTGTGATCGCCATTGGGGCTGTGCAGGTAGGGTGCGGGCCTGCAAGCTGAGGGGGGTGGTGCATATGCATAGTTACAGCCCTACTGCGGAGCCCAGGGCCACTTTGGAGCGTGAATGTGGCTTGCCCAGGGCCGCGTCCTGCTGACCTGGGACTTAGGGTCCTCAGAGCATCAGGTACAGGGCAGGGTTTGCCATCCCTCTCCCAGCACACCCTAGGATGCCAGATCACCCAGGGCCCTGGCCGAGCCCCGCATGCCTGTGTTGATCGAGGGCTGATTGGCCACAGAGCTCCTTCTGCCGCCTGCCCACCCACAGGCACTGATCATAGGCTACGCCTTCCACTTCCCACACCTGCTGAGCCCACAGCTCCGCAGCTCCACCCACAGGACCGTGACCCGGCAGCACATCCTGCTCCTCGTCCTCCGTGGCCCAGCGCTGTGCTTTGCTGCAGCTGTTTTCTCCCTCTTCTTCTTCCCTATGGTGAGTGCTGCTGGGACAACCTCAGGGGGAGGGCTCAGCCCAAACTCAGAAGCCCAGGCCTATCAATGGGCTTGAAAGCTACCAGCCAGTTTCTAATAGGAAAGAGAACCCTGGTCTGGCATTGAGCAGCACAGACATCAGAGCCAGCTCATTGACTGTCCACATGCACACTGTTTAGGGAGTTGGGATTTAAACTGTCAGACTGCACCCTAGGGAAGACACTGACAAGAGTGTTTAGTGGGCATGTAGAGAGGCCCACCGGTGCAGAGCAGGTGGGCTGATGAGCACCCACAGTCCTGCAGTCTTGGGACTGCCAGGCCAGCCCCTCCCTTGAGGGCAGAATTGGGACACCAGGCCAAGCAGAGTATCTTGGCAGGGAGGCCACTGGTGAGGGCAAGAAGGTGGATGTCAGTGTGCACTGAAGTCCAAGGCTGACCTTGTGACCTAGCTACCTCAGAGATAGCCTTGTATGCTGGTGACAGCTGAGGGAGGAGATGAGGACAGTGCTGTAGGCTGGGACTAGCCTGTGAAGGGGTAGCAAGAGAGACAGAGATTGGGCATGGTGTCCTTGGCCATGCTCGCTGGGGATGGGGATGGAGTGGCCAGCATGGGGGTCAGGGCAGGTAAGGCCTGGATAGGTAGGTGGCCATCAAGGAGGATGGGCCTAATGGCAGCAGCCTGAGGCAAACTCCTGTCTCGGGAACAGTCCCCTCCCAGGGTTGGCAGGAGCATCTGGTGAAGGATGGTAGGTAATTCCTTGAAGGGGAGAGTGGCAGTGTGTGGGAGAGGCTCTGCATTGCACTGTGATCAGTTCTGTCCCTTTTCATCGTCCAGTACGCTGCACTGGCAGCAGGAGCCCACCTGGTGGTTAATTCTCAGTCACGGATGTTGGGCTGTCCCACTTTAGACCTGAAAGTAGGTGTGTACCACCCTTCACATCTGTTTTCAGATCTGGTGCACACGCCCAGCAGTGGACTTGCTATATCATGTAGTCATTCTGATTTTAGTTTTTTGAGAACTCTATGCTGTTTGCCATAGTAGCACAGCCATGTGCCTTCCCACCAGCAGCACGTGAGGACTCTTTCTCCATATCCTCATCAATAACTGCTGTCTGATTCCAGGGTGCTGGTGGTGGAGGTGGTGCCCTCTTATGCCACATGTCCTCCATGCTGAGCATCTTTCCATGTCTGCAAGCTGTTCCCAGCTGGGTTGCATTGTAACAGCTCCTGGTGTCCCATTGCACTGTCCCCTTCTCTGTGGGTACCCAGGCACTCCGCAGATTCCTTGGCTTGGGGGTCTGCTTCTCCACCAAGGATGATGCCCTTGGTTTTCCTGTCTCTCCAGCTGCCCCTCCCTGGGAGCATCTCCTAGCTCCCAGGGTATGTGGCCCTGCCCTGTGGGAGAAGGTGTTGACTTTCCATGTCTCTCTGCAGTCATACCTGCTGATGGTGACCATCATCTTCCTCCCCTACATCAGCAAGGCCTCCAGCTGGTGCAGAGACAGACTCATGGGTAGGCACTGAGGCCCCTGAGGATGTCAGGTGGGGCTGGGCACACTGCATGGTGGGTGACCCTAGCCTGATGCTGTAATCTACAACATCCTGTCCATCTCCTCTCCCAGCCTACACAACCCAGCCCTTGGGGTAGTAATGGCCATGCTGGCCCCACAACCCCCAGGGACTGGGCCAGCTTCTCCTTCCTGGCATGTCCACAGGCCGCAGGCAGCCCCCAGATCACAGTGTGGAGATCTTCACCTTTGACCTTCATGAGCCTCTCAGCAAGGAGCGGGTGGAAGCCTTTAGCGATGGGGTCTACGCCATTGTGGCCACATTGCTCATCCTGGACATCTGGTGAGGACCCCACTCGTGGCTGGCCAGCAAGGCCCTGACTAGAAGCTGCCCAGTACCCCTGCCAGGTGCTGTTTGTCTCCAACCCCCTTCGTGAGCCCAGAGCATTGGAGGAGGAGGAGGAGGTGGTCCCACATCAAGGACAGGACTCCCAGAGAGTGGAGGGTGGTTTGGGCCTAGGGTGCCAGGACAGCATGGCACCCCTGGGACTCAGCCCTTTCCTGTGTGCTGTCAGGCCTTCTTCCTCCCACTGTTGACCCTGAACTCTGCTCAACTCCTAATCCTACTGATGGTTTTCTGCTTCTAAGTGTTCACTTGTTCAAGTCTTTCCTTAAAAAAGACTGGTCCTCAGTCACATTTCGGGTCACACTCATTCCATTAAACATGTTGAACACTCTGGTTTTATATTCTGTATCTGATAGTCTGACCTTCCTGCCACACTCAAGGTAGGCCTTTCTACTGTAACTTGTGAAATTTTAAAAACTAGAAGCAAACTTTTCTTAGTACCTCATTCCTTTTGATTTAAAGAACATCAGGGCAACCTTTCCTTGCTTCCCCTTGAGGCCAGGGGTCATGGTTGGGGCAGGGAAGCCACTGCACCCTGAAGATCCTGCCTTGTGCAGCACCCCCCCCCCGCTCTGTCTTCTTCCTCTACCCTGTCCTTGCCATCTACCCCCTCCACAACCAGCTGATAAAAGGTGCTGTTTCCTGGTACCCACCCCAGACCACCCAGAGTGACACTTGGTCCTTCTCAGAGAGGTGCAGAGGTAGGGAGGCCTCAGGCTCACACGCCCATCTCGGGGTTGCCCCTGCTCCAGAACTGCTGGTTAGCAAGGAATCCCCCCCAGGTACCAGTTAGGGGTGCGTTTGGGATGAGTGGGAAGCACTGGCAGTGTGCTGAGCATCTAGCCATGTTCCTGAAATGCATGCTGTGATGCCCAGACCCTCCCACCCATGCGGGGAGCTGGAACAGATGCCCTGTGTTCTCACTTCCCAGTGAGGACAATGTCCCCGACCCCAAGGATGTGAAGGAGAAGTTCCACAGCAGCCTGGTGGCAGCCCTGGGTGAATATGGGCCGCACTTCCTGGCGTACTTCGGCTCCTTCGCCACAGTGGGGCTCCTCTGGTTTGCCCACCACTCACTCTTCCTGCATGTCCGAAAGGCTACACAGGTCATGGGACTGCTCAACACACTCTCACTGGCCTTTGTGGGCGGCCTGCCCCTAGCCTACCAGCAGACCTCAGCCTTTGCCCGCCAGCCCCGCGATGAGCTCGAGCGCGTGCGTGTCAGCTGCGCCATCATCTTCTTTGCCAGCATCTTCCAGTTTGCCATCTGGACTGCGGCCCTGCTGCACCAGACAGAGACACTACAGCCAGCAGTACGGTTTGGTGGGCAGGAACACGCCTTCATGTTCGCCAAGCTCGCCTTGTACCCCTGCGCCAGCCTGCTGGCCTTCGCCGCCACCTGCCTGCTGAGCCGGTTCAGCACGGCCATCTTCCACCTCATGCAGATATCTGTGCCCTTCGCCTTCTTGTTGCTGCGTCTGCTGGTGCGCCTTGCCCTAGCAGCCCTGCGGGGCCTGCAGTCTCTACGGCCAGCACACCTCCCACCAGGCAGGGCCAGCGAGAGTGAGCCTGACGCCCAGGCCCAGCTCCTGCCTGCCTCTTGCTAGCACTACAGAGCCCACACCTGCTATGTGCTACCTGCTTGTCTCACCCAATGCCACAGGTCTCCTCTCCACTGTGAAATGCCAAGGTCTATCCAGAGCATGCATGCTGCTCTACACAGGAACTTCTACCCAGACATGGATCTCTCCCTTAACAGAACAAGTTGCCTTCGGGTCTGCATCTGGATGGCTTCAGGCAGCCCAGCTGCCCAGGACCCCAGACACCCTGCCCACCTTGCCCCATTCTCCTGGGCCTCTGCGTAGAGCCTTGAGCAGCACCTCCTCCCCAAGACTCAGCTGTTGAACTCGGAAGTCTCTATCTGAGGGGCCACCTACCCCAGACCTCCTGCCCAGAGTGTGCAACACCACTGGGGTTCCCAGTCCGTCTAGCTCCTCCCCACGCTCAGTCGCTGGACACAAGAATAAGAGAGGGCACTGCAGGACACTGAAGCCCAACTCTATTTGTCCCAGGTATAAGTTAGGTCACATTCAAGTAGCAGTAAGTCAGAAGGAGAGGCCTAGGGCTCAGGGTCACAGCCCTGCAGGTGATCTCAAACAGCAGACAGACCTCTCATCATAATTTGCATACAATTCCTGCAGGTTGAAGTCAAAGCAGAACTAACTACACCACTAAGGTACTGTTCTGAAGATAATAAGTGACATTTTGTAAACACGAGGACTGTTACACTGAGACCACCAAAGGAGTAGGGGCACATGTCTGCAGTTTTGGCAAAAGCAAGGAAGGGATGTGGTGCTGCAGCACTGAGGCTCCTGGGGAGGCTGCAGGCCATGCCCAAGGCTGAGACCCACAGCAGTGCAAACCCAGCACCAGAAGTGCTGGGAAGGGTGACCTGGTGGCCCCTTGCTTTGGGGACCTCTGCAGATACCCTACATAGGCCACTTATTTTTGGTCAGATTCTTCCAGCATGTGGAGTGGGCACAGGGAGAAGAGCTTCATTCACACCAGCCAGGCTGTCCAGGCAGAGCGCTCCCCATGGGGCTCAGCCAGCAGTGCTGCCTGGGTGGGTTAGGAGCTGTGGCCACACTGGTACACGAGCCCAGGTTGCTGGCAAAGCGTTATGTAAAGTGCTACATTGCCGAATAAGGGCATTAAATCCGCTCCTCAACATGTGGGTGTTATTTACAGGTTCACTGACTAGACCAGGAAGCCCTGCTTCTGGTCCCCTCTAGGCACTAAATGCCCACCCCAGGGGCCAAGGGGGGGACACACTTGGGCCCAGCCCACACTCCAGCTGCCACGCAGTAGTCATCCAAGCCCACCTTGCCTCAGGGTGGACATAGGTCCCCTCTCCCAGGTGAGGCTGGCTACCACCCACAACTTCCTCCCCTAGTAGAATCCCATGCAGTGATGAGGCAGGAGTCTAGGGACAACACCTTCCCTGAGCCAGGTGGGGGAAGTCACCCCATGGCCACCATGGCTACACACCACCTGCCTATGGGGGAGGGAGGCCAGGCATCTGCTCCAAAGGGGCATCTAGGGGCCAGCCTGAGGGTCGTAAGATGAGGTCAGAGGCCAGCAAACAGTTCATTCCAGTGCTGTACTGCCCCGAAGGCCAGAGGGCAGGACAGCCAGGAGCCCTGTGCTCCTGTCCCAGGCACTGTCCAGGGCTGGGGAAAGGGGCTGCCACCCACCCAGGAGTTTTTACATGAAACTGGATGGGGACAAGGGTTGCAGATGTCCTGGCCCCAGGAAGAAAGCGTGGGCAGAGCTGCAACAAGTCCATCGGATGGACGCTCCAGCGCAACCTGGGCCTCTCAGCCCCTACTTAGTGTTGCCCTCGGGGGTAGGCACAGCGTCCCCCCTGATGGCTGCAGCCTTCCTGGGCTTCTGCTTGGCCTTCCTCAGCATGTGGACCTGTCCCAAGATGGGCAGGATGGATCAGAGAGCGGGGCATACCAGGTTGCAACCCCATGGTCCAGAAGCAGCCGTGTCTCAGAGGGGCTAGCCTGAGGTGGTGTGTGCAGCCACTGGCTCTGCCTTTGAGCCCCACCTTTCTCGGGAGGCCTGGCACTCCCACTGAGGAGCATGGGGCTTGCAAGGCTGGTGCCTGCCTCAGCACCTGGGGCTTCCCGACTCACAGAGGCCCAGGCCTACCTGGGCAGCAAGGCCACCCAGCCGCCCCTCAACTTCAGCTGCCCAACGTACCTTAGGGCCTGCAGCTGAGATGATCATGTGTCCTGGGGCCTGGACCCAGGGCTCACCATCTACCTGCACAGGCGTGGCCTTGAGGAGGGTGACACGGAAGTAGGAGCCCTGGGCAATGCGGATGCCGGAGCGCAGTCCCCCCTGCACCTGACCCTGAGAGGAGGTCGGAGCCAGCTTAGCAGGTGACGGGGCAGCACAGGAACCTGCCCTAGCCCAGTGCTTACCATGTGCACAACACCCGTCACGCCCACCACCTCTAGCAGCCCATCGTCCATGCGCGGCTTCTCAAACCTTGAGTCACTGTCCGAGCCCCAGAGGTCAGCTCCTGAACCCCAGCTGCCCAAGAAATGGGTGCACTAGGGTTAGGCCTGGTACCTGGCCCAGCTAGCTCACGGAGTCTCGCTGGGGGCAGTGCCTGCACACCTGGGGATGTTGATGAAGATGAGGCCCTCAATGCTGGGCAGCTCTACCTCCCGCTGCTCCACCTGCAGCCGGATCTCCTTGTGTAAGCCACGTGAGTGGCTTATCTTCTGCAGCCCGACACGTACATACACACCCTTGTTGTGGAATCTGCAAGACATAAGTCAGGTCACTGGCTAGGGGCTGTACCTGCCCAAGCATGTGCTCCTACCCACCTGTCCCGTGGTACCTGCTGGTGAATTTTCCAGGCTCCTCCTCCCGTGCCTGGTGGAAATCCAGGCTGAGCTCGGCATCAATGCCAATACCACAGTAGTTGCTCATCTGTACAATCTGGAAACGGAGGGCTCTTCCAGGACATTGCCCACAGTGTCTGGCTGCCTCCCTCCAAACCTGCTCTGCACTGTGGCCCCTTCCTGGGGCTGCCCTGCTCAGCAATTTAGCACCCCAGGAAGGCCATGTGCCCCACAGCATGGCTAGGAGAAGGGGAGTATGGGAGGGCCATGGGCAAGGTCCAGGGGCCACTTGTTACCTTGGGGGGCTCTGCATCCACCACACTGTTCTCTGTACCAGCAGCCTTGTGAGCATCCAGCAGGATGGTCCAGCGGTCCATAAGCACAGCATCTGCCTCATCCACTGACACCAGCATAGAAAATGGGTCCTCTCCACTGTAACCTGCACCCCAGCGGAGGACCCGGCCAAGGTCGTTTCCTGAAACACAGGTGAGATTTGGAGGGACACCACACACCTCTCTGAAGAGACTTTACCTCATAGTGATAGAGTTACTATGGGACAACCCCTTACAGGACAGAGATGTCGCCACCACAGGTCAGGGGTCCCACCACTGAACTTGGGCAGAGCCTGGGGTAGGGCTATCCTAAGGTACCACTCTCCTAATCTCCTAACCCTACCTGTGCCCAGAGGCAGAATAGCAACAGATGGCTCCTGGCAGGCCAGATGGTGCCGTGTCTCCTCCAGGGCAGTGAGAACCCAGCCCACAGTGCCATCACCGCCACATACGAGCACCCGGAAGCAGGGCACCTGGGAGAAGAGGTGGAACCTGTGTGGGAGGCAGGAGTACTTGTGGGGTCCTCTGCTGCAGGTAGGCGGTGGTCACCCATAAGCCAGGGTAGGACCTACCCAATGTTCCTGACTCAGGCACCCGTCCTTTTCAAATGTCTATCTCCAGCCACATGGAGGACTTGGAAGTAGGGAAGGGGACACATATATGTGCCTGTAGATGCACACTCACCCAGGAAGTGGTCCCCCATTGGTCAAATCGAAGACCTGGTGAGGGTTCAGCAGCTTCCGGAAACTGCAGAGCAGGTCTCGGCCCTTGAGGCCCCCACTCTTGGGGTTCACAAACACAAGGATGGGGCAGCAGTCTGCAGGCAGCTTTGTGTGCTGTGAAGGAGGAAGGCAGGTGAGGGTGGGGCCTGAGGCCTCTCTGCCCCCCACGGAAGCTGCTAGCAGTGCCCAGCCTGGGACTGCAACTTCCCTAGGCCAGGGTACCCCTCCCGAGGAAGACAGGGCTTTACCCTCACCTGCAGCCCCTGGGGCTATATGCTGATCCCCACCCCATAACTGAACACAGGACAACCTTCCCCAAAAGGATCATCTGAGCTGCCAACCACTTGGAACTCTTAAGCATGAAGGCCAGGACCAGACCCAAATGCCAAGGGACCCTAATATATCAGACTGGAAGCCACAGGGAGCCCTGCCTGGCACTGCCAGCCAGCTGGCCTCAAAGGAGCTACCCCACACCTTTGGAAGTCAGCAGCACTCAGGACTTAGCACACAGGTGGCTGCCCAATAACCTGGGCATGGGAAAAACCTATGTCCAAAAGAAAAGCCTAAGAAACAGCCCAGGAGTCTGGACATGGTGGACCAGACTGGGGTCCCTGGGACATGGTAGGGTGAGAAGAGACAAACAGGCTAGGTGCAAACACAAGGTGGGTGGCAGCACACAGGCTGGGCTGTGGCTGGGGCAAGGACACACTCAGGGCCACGCGGCCCATGGGCAGGCAGGGCTGCCTGTGGCCACCACTTACCCATGCACCCCAGGGCGGGCAGCTGACAGGAGAGAGAAAGCAGTGTCAGCCTCACACCCAGTAGTGCTGCCTCCACAGGTGATGGCCAGGGCAGAGGCAAGAAGGACCAGAGTGTCACCCACCCCAGGATCAGATCCTACCCTCATTCTGCTCTAACACTGCTCACAGCACAAGATCAAGGGCCAAGGGTCAGGGCGCAGAGCAGCCATGGACACCTCGGTCCTGGGATTCTGTGCGCAGACAGACAAGCTCAGAGAGCACTGTGCGGGTGCAGGGTGGGGCCTGACTGCAGCCCTCAGGCTGCCTCACACATGCCACACCCATGAGCTGTGCCCTTCACCCCGGGCTGCCCACGGCTTAGCCCCTATTCCTGGCACTACTAGCTCCTGAGAGAGTCCTCCAGCATGAGGAGCTCTACCAGCTGACCAGAGGCAGCCCTCAGAGTTGGGGCCCCAAGGCCACCAAGTGGACAGCAGCACGTGGGAGTGTGTCACACTCTACCCTTAGTGAGGTGCCCACTGGGGGCCTTGACATACCTATCTAACCTGAGGCAGCACCCACACTACAGGCCAGCCCTGACCCCATGGGACCTAAGAAATAGGTCTCGCCATCGGGCAGCCTTGAACAACTACAGACACACTGACCTGCACCCTCTGCTGTAAAGCAGGCAATGTAGTCCATCTTGGGCTACTGTGAGGGCTGACCAAGGTGGCACCTACCAGCCCGGGAAAGTCGGGAAAACAGCAGACAAGACCATACCCAGCTGCATGGAGGTGTGGATGTCCTTGGGGTGTAGGCATCCTCAGGGATGAGAATACTGGCCTGGAACTACCCACTCACCAGCACATCTGGGAGCACCAGCGTGGTCAGTGGCTGGCCATGCACAGCCGTGTCCCTCCCCAGCATGTACAGCCGCTCGGCCTCAGCAAAGCAGGTGACATCCAGCACCACTGCACCTGTGACAGGTAGGCCGCTACTCAGGCCAGGCTGGCCTATGCAACCTGCTCAGGTCAGCCACCAGGGGATGTGTCCACAGAAAAAATCCACATCAAGGGACAGCTAGGTTCAGGGGGTGCCCCTCATCCCCATCCTCAGCCCCTGCCTGAGCCACAGGTGCCACAGGGGTCTGGGTACCCAAAAAGGGGTGACCAGGTAAAAGCTTTTCCAAGAAGAGGCATAGATCCAGAAAGGGCAAGTCTTAAGACAACTGCCAAGCCTCACAACATTTCAGCAAAGCATCAGAAGTGAACCAGGACAAAACCAGGGGCATCACTGGGCAGACAACTGCAGCAGAGGAGCCTGTGCCCATAGGAGGGAGAAGGGTGGCCTTGCCCCATGGGCACGGGTGTCACCAGGCAACAGATAACTTACCTTGGGGGTAGACGTGGCTCATGGACACGGCGGCAGCTGCACAGACAGATGGAAGTCAGAGTACCCAGCACCCAGGCCAGCCCTTGGCATCATATCCAGTGTGGCCCAGCCCAAGCACCCCTATGCCCACCCCAGAATAGGGTCTCTGTACTCCAGAAGCAGAGTGCAGGGACCTTGGGGAGTGACCATGAAGGGAGGGTGCCCAGAGTCCCAGGGGAAGGTAGGAGGACAGGACCTGGCCTGCATCAGCTCCCTCCCAGCCGAGCCCAGTCCACCCAGGATCACACCTTTGGTGGCCATGGCCTCCTGTAGCAGGCTGTCATACTCTTGAGGGCACAGGCCAGGTGGCAGGCCACCCACAAACAGGGAGATACGGGGGTTCACAGTCCTGTTCTCAGTCACATAGAACCGCGTCTGGCTGGCCTGCCGCAGGGATGTCTGTGGGGAGAAGGCACCAGGTTTGGGGAAGCTAGGCAGCATGGCCCACATGGGCCATTCCACCTCCTCCACCCAGGGAATTGGGCATTTCAGAGGAAGCCAGGTGAGAGGGCGGGCCTTGCTCTCGATGCACACCCACCCTTGGAGACCTGGGGCCAGCTCTGCTGGAGGATGCAGAGCCAAGGGCAGGGCAGGACTGGCAACTACCCCACTGACCTGCCGGATGTCCCAAAGTCGTCGGAGCAGGGACTCGTCATCAGCAAGCACATTCCTCTGGACTGCAGAGAGGCACAGACATCAATCAGTGCCCCCGCACCTCTGCAACAGCCACCCTGGGCCCAGGGCACAGATAGAGGGCAAGTCGAACTCACCTTGCCTGCTGCCCATAAGCACCTCTACCAGCTTGAAGCTCTCAGGACCTTCGGCCTACGCAGGGGGAATGGGGTGTCAGGCCTGGAGCTGGTCCCCTCCAGGTAGACATGGAGACAGGGCTTGGCCCCAGAGTAGTGGCCTTAGGTAGCTCACACACACACACACACACCTGGCGTCCAAGCAATGGGAGGACCTCTAGCACCACAGTGCGCACTGTGCTCTGGGAAGTCACCCGGATGGACACATATGCCACGCCTACCCTGTGGGGGATAGGCTCAGAAATTGGATACAGCCCCTACCCCTCACCCCTGCCCCAGATCCCAAGTCTCAGGCCTTACTTGAGCCAGCCAGGATAGATCTTCAGGACTTCCTGGGTGCGGGTCCGTGCACGGATGACCCAGGCTTCAGGCTCATGGGCCCCAGAGCCCCTGTTGCTGTCCTCCTCAGCCAAGCCACCATTCCCAGCCTTTCCTGGGGCCTGGGCATCACTAGCCAGTGAGGGCAGGGTCAGCTCCTGAAGCTCAAAGTCCTCAGGGTCCTCACTGACATAGTAAGCCCGAAGTGCTGCCTCCTGCAAAGTGTGGGGGTTCAGTGGGGGGGAACAGATGTGAAGGGACAGATGTAAAGGTGCGAAGGAGCAAGGTGTAGGGGACCAGGTATAGGGAGGAGGTAGAAGAGCTGAGTGTGAGGCACCAAGTAAGGTGGGCCCAGGTGTGGGGAGCAGGTGAGGGGTCAGGTGTGGGGAGCAGATGGAGCCCAGGTATGGGCACAGACCAGTGTGGAGAGCTGTAGGGAGCCAGCAAGGGGACAGGTTGGGGCCAGGGGGCCAGGGGGCCAGGCGTGGCTGGCACTAGGCCTCCTGACACTCTAGAGCCTCCTTACCAGCACCTCCTCACTTCTAGCCAGGCGAGGCACAGTGACCAGACGAAAATGGTTTCTCCTCATGGTGTCATTGCCATCAAAGATCTTCAAGGTCTGTTTGCCTGGCCAGTGGGAAGCAGTTAAGAATCCAGGAGAAGGGGGCAGGAGGGGTGAGCACTAGCCCAGGGGCACTTACTGGACTCAGGGGCTGCCGGTGCATCCCTGCCAGGGCCCAAGGCAGTGCTTCCAGCGGCGCCGTCTGCCCCATCACCTGTGGGGCGAGCAGACCATCACACTCGGCACTCTGCCTGGGCCCCACACCCCAGGGTTACCCCACCTGCTCACCCAGCTCTGGGGCAGCAGTCTCGGCAATACGGAAGCAATGCATCTTGCTGAGATTGCGGGACACCAGGCGCACACACCCAGGGGGCAGAACCATGGAGCGCAGCCGCCCAAAGGTACACTCGGGAGCCAGCACCGCAGAGCACAGCGCGTGGGCCTGGGGGAAGCGGCTGTGAGGCAGCGCCTGCAGAGCCGCACTCCACTGTCCCCTTCCCATGCACCCACCTGGGTCCCCCACCCCATCCCATCTTGGTGCCGACTGGGTACCTCCTGGCCCCACCCTCCTACTACGTACCTGGACGCCACACCACTCACAGCGCACACCGGCCAGCACGTCTGCAGAGCCGCAGGTCTTCCTGCAGATCTCACAGCGCGCCCCCAAGGGCAGGTTCCCCTCCCGCCAGTGGTGGTGGTAGGTGTCCTGTGAGGCAGGGCGGCAGTAAGGGGCTTGCCCCCAGCTGCCCAGCTGCCCTGCCCCAGCTGCCACACTCACGTGATCATGGTGTCCATCCTGGTGGCACTGGCGGCAGTCACTACAGGCGAAGGGCACACAGTCGGCGTGAATGTGCAGCTCACACACTGGGGGGTGGGCAGGGTTAGGGTCCTCTGGCAGCGCCTCACTCCTGTGCTCCTCACTGGCCTCACTTGGGCTGGAGCCAAACCAACCTCTGCCACCTGTGCCCCGCTCCCTTCACCGCATGTGTGCTCTGCCCGGCTCTCACCCCTCAGAAAGCCCTGTGCCTCCACCCACATCCCTGGGCCACGGTATGTGGCAAAGACCAGGACACTAGACAAAGGGCTACCTAAGGCCAAGCAGTCCAGTGGTACCTTCGCAGCGGAATGCAGGTGCCTCCAGGCTCTTGCGGCAGACAGCACAAAATTTTCGCTTGTACAGTCCCCGGGGACCAAAGCAGTGGGCTACTGGGACCTGCAGGGTGCAGAGAACCTCAGATCTGGGCTGCCCACCCTGCACCCTCAGCTGAGCGTCTGCTACTCTCTGTGGGTCCAACCCAGAATGCCCTTCTGGGACTACCAACAACAGTCCTCCCCTCCACAGCTCTGTGGGTACCCACCCTATCCTTCTGGGCACTGCCACCCAGGAGGCCTGACCTAAGGCTGGCCTGGCAGAATGGGGGCAAGGGAAAGGACCCTGTACTACACACAAGTAGAGGAGGGCTCAACTGCCAGGCATGTGGCCCCTGGCTCTGAGGCCCAACATGCCTCCCAGGGACTACATGGGCTGCAACTGATGGCTGGCCTGCCGCCTCTACATGGGAGCCCACAAAAGAGGAAAGACAGACATTCACCCTGATGCAGGTCCTGATCCTACTGCTAAGTTAAAATATGCAGTGAAAGGCAGCCAGGGTGGACATGCCAGGATGTGGATGAGTTTTATTTTTTTCTCAAATACTAATATTCTCTAAACTTTCACCATGCATGTATTTGAAATACATACTTGTATTTTTTTAATTTAGTAAAGAAAACATGAGGATGAACTTGAGAAAACTGCAGATTCAAGACATCTACACAAGAAGTCTCCCTGCTGGCTTGGATGGCACAAGAGTGGAAGACACCCAGACCCACATCCCCTCGGGGCTCCCTGCACTCATGCTTGATAACCAGGTTGCCTGCCCCATCATGTGCAGACACCACAACCAAAACTCATCCCACAGCAAATGCCCCCCCCCCCCCGCTGGCACGTCTGAAACGCACCGCATACCCAGCCCTGCACCCAGCCCACCTACCAATGCACCCTGGGCGGACCCCTCACCAGCACCGGCAGGAGAGGGCTGTGGGGGATACCATCAGCTATCCTCACCCCACCACTGTGCACAGGAGGGAAGCCCTGCCCTGCTAAGACCCAGCCAGGTGCCTTTTTACCCCACTGAGGATCCCCATGGAACCAACTCGCTTACACCAGTCATGTCAACTGCAGAGCTCATGTGTGCTTGGCTCAGCTTCTCCAAATGTGACCTCTTGCAAGACTGGTGTCACCACCAAGCACTGCAGCGTGCAGTGGATATGACACCCCTCCCCCAGGACCCCTTATGCTGTCCTTCATAGCCACACCCAGCATTCTGTGTTCCCTGAGCTTCCTCATCTGGAGTCTCCGTGTCCTATGTGTCCTTTGGGCTGGATCAGCTTTTCTCAGTATGATTCCCTCCTGGGAGCCGATCAGCAGCTCCTCTGCTTCATCTCTGAGCAGGACTTTGCCCTTAGCTCCCCAGCTATGGTGTGACGAAGCTGAAGGTCAGCTAGGGGTCAGCACTGCCTGGTGTCAACACCTGTGCCCACAACACTCACCCGAACCAGGCTGGGTGCCACACCGGCACATGGAGTCTTCACATGCCGCAGGCACTTCTCATGGGACATAAAGTTGCAGACTGTGGGAGGGAGAGGCACAAGTTGCCACTGTCCCCTGGAGAGCCACCATCCTACTCAGCAGGAAAGGCCCAGGGCCACAGCAGGGTACCAACATCATGTGGCAGGGCGCAGGTACCTATCACAGTGGACCATTCTGCAAGAGCTGAGTCTCCCAGTCTGGTCCCATTGAGCAGTGGTGGCTGGGGAGATTAGCTCAGCAGTATAAGTGCTTACCTGGCAAGTGCAAGGTCCTGAGTTCAATCCCTGGTACCAATAAATAATAAAAAATGCTTCCATTGAGCAGTGGGAGACCACCAGTGACATCAACACAGATGATGCGATCCCCATGAGAGGCTGCAGCCACTGGGTGGCGCTGTGGCCATCCTAAAGGAGGTTTTTTTTTTTTTTTTTTTTTTTTTTTTTTTTTTGAGGCAGGGTCGCTAGGCAATTCAGGCTGGCCTCAAACTCACAAGACTCCTCTTGCCTCTGCCTCCCGAGTGCTGGGATTATAGGCATGAACCACCACATCTTGCTGTGTGTATGTGTGGTCTTTTTTTGTTTTGTTTCCTTTTTTTTTTCAGTTGAGGTTTATTTTTTTGATTTTGACGTGCCGAGGACCAAACCCAGGCTTGCTAGGCAAGTGTTCTACTGCTGAGCAAAATCTCCAGCCCCCATCCTAAAGAATGCTGAATGTGTCCTGTCATCAAGAAAGTGGCCCCGCCCTCCGTCATCTTTGTCCTGGCCTCATGAGGGGTGGTCTAGGGCTACCAGCAGGAAGGGGCTCTGTGAGCTAGCGTACCCCTGCGTAGCCCCACAGCCAAACCAAGACACCCCCAGCTACACAGCTTCCTCAGGGCCCCACAGCTGTGCCAGGCAGGGGCAACCAGGTGGGTACTCTGGGAGGCAGGAACCACCAGGAGGGAAGGTGGTCCTAGGCCCCAAAGGAGGTGAGCACTGAACTGAGGCTACCTACCATGGCAGGAAGACAGGGAAGTGTAAGAAGCGTGGAGAGGCCGGCCCCACGGGACAGCAGGCAGCCTGAGCCAGCGCATTCAGAGTCAAGACAGGGTAGGGGCAAGAAGCCTGCAGGACCCCACAGGTAGTGTAGGGCAGAAGAGGCCACATGGGCAAAGGGACACAACCTCAAGACTGCCTGGATAAAACTGCCTGTGGGGCTCAAGCCACCCACTCATGAGAAAAGCAGTTCCCCAAGAAAGCCCCCTGCGGCCCCACCACCAGAGTCTACCAGATGAGAGACAAAGTCCCTCCACAGACTGCTATAGGGAAACTCCCAGAAGTAGGCTGAGGTCCACTGAGAGAGCAGGGACAAGGAGGAAGGTCAGGAATCACCTCAGAGCTCTCCCCAGGGCAGTCCACTGGCTGTACTTGGAAAGCACTGGCCAGCTTCCTTCTCCACCCACAGAAGCAGCACCCAAGGGTGCCCCTCTTCTTCCTACACCCTGGCCAGGCCCAGTCTGCCTAGGTGCTAGCCCATTCTCCAGACCCTGCCTGGGAGAGGCTGATGGTCCTCTCCCAAGCACTTAGCCCTGCAACACATGAGCTGCTTTGCCCCCATACTAGCTGAGGGGTCCTGAGCTGCTCAGACCAGAGGACCCCCTGCAAAAGTCACAGCTGTAATGGACCCAGACTCCAGCCTTCGACTGAATCCTGCCTTTGTATCTCTCACCTCTGCAAGGATCCACTGTCTAGAAGTTATAGTTCTGTCTTCACCATTTCACCTCCCCAGGGGCTAGGCTCAGGCCCAGAGCTCCACCTCTGGGGCTTTTTGCCCGGTGTAGGAGAATCCACTGGTCTAGCCTCCTACCTTTAGCCCTCTGTCACCATCTCCTGTGCGCCCAGACCTGGAGCTGACTTAGCTTACAAGCTTGTACCTTCTACCTCAGGGAGCCACCTGGACAGGGCAGTCTTTATGAACTGACCCGCCCCCGGGAGTCAAGAGGAACCCTGTGTGAAGCGAAGGGACCGAGAAAGCACACACTAGGTCAAAGGTCCACGCTTCCCAAGGGCCCGGCCAGCAGGACAGCACAGGAGACCAGGGAGGGAGGGCTGCCCCGCACCCAGCCAGGCAGGACGGGAGCCCAGTCGGTCGGGACGCCACCCTGGGAGAGGCAGCCTGGAAGGGGGGGTCGGGTCAGGTCCTCACACTGGGCCCTGGGCAGCGGCGCGCTGAGGACGGCGGCCCGGCCCGGCCCGCACCCCAGCGGCAGGGCCCGGCCCAGGCGCGGGCGGGCGCGAGGACAGGCCGTGCTCGGCGGCTCACGCTCACCGTCGCATAGGAAGCCGGCAAGCCCCCAGATGAAGTCGGAGCAGAAATGGCAGAACGTGGGCTTGGTGAGCGTCACCTTCCGGAAGCTGTGACCCGGCACAACGGGTCCCGGGACTCCGTCGCCCGCCCGCCCCGGCGCCTGCCCTG